ACCCTATCCAACTTGAATGCTATGCTGTCTTGAAATTCCCATTACTTTTTAATTCAGGCTCACTTAAAAATTCAGGGTACAGGCAGGATGCAAACAAAATGTTTCCCCACTGTATCCAAAAGGTGGTAGCCCAATTCCCAATAGAGTCCTTGTTCCCGTCTGAAATCTTATGAGCACAGTCTTTTTACTATCTACAATATCATCAGCATTCCAGCCTTGCAAGTATCAACCGATTAATCTCTGCAAACAGCATTCTAGGGATTCTTAAACCCCTTTCTCCAAATCTTCCAAATTCTTCCAACAAACCAGTTCCAATGGCCTAAGAACCTCGTGGCCAGATTTAATTACAGTAACAAGCTCTTCCTTGGCATCCATTTTTGGTACCAGTTAGTTTTGTGCTGCTGTAACTACAATACCTAAGAGAAACGATTTTAAAAAGATGTAGTTTGGCTCACAGTTTGTGAGGGTTTGGTGCATAATTGCAGACGAAGCTTCGTAGCATCATAGTGGTGGGGGCTGCTCACATCATCAGAAAACCGAGCATGACAGGAGGAAGGGCTGGCTATAACCTGTCTTTACTTACTATTTCTACCAGATAGATGCTCACCTCCTTAAAAGGCTCTACACTCTCCATCCACCCCCCAAGAAAACCACAGTGCTACAAGCTGGGGGACAAGCATTCAAAGTATGAGCCACTAGAAGACTCTTCAGATTTGAACCATACTTAAACTTTAATGTGTAGGAAGAACTTGATAGGATAGGAACAAGAATCTAAATTTGGTTTCTTCAAGCAGTATAGACATTGACCTTGAAGGTGTATTTTGGCCAGTCTTTTGCCTCAGAGGGTGAAGATAATTATCTAGCTTGCTTTCTATTGCTGTGATAAGCATCGTGACCAAAGGCAGCTTGGGAAAAGAGGTTTGTTTGGCTTAAAGATCAAGGTCCATCACTGTGAGAAGCCAAGGCAGGAGCCTAGAGGCAGGAACCAAAGCAGAGACCATGGAAGAATGCTGCTTACTGGCTTTCCTTCATGGCTTGCTCAGCCTGCTTTCTTGCACAGTTCAGGAATATCTACCCAGGGATGGGGCACCATCACACTGAACTGGACCCTCCCAAATCAATCATTATTCAAGAATATGCCCTAAAGACTTACATACAGGGCAGAAATTTAACAATCTTTAAAAAGTTCAACATGTCCTCAATTGTCACATTTCCTTCACAGGATACAAAAGACTACAAATGTATTATTCCATCTCAAACCACACATCACTACTTACTGCTACCCTGTTGTACAAGGTTCCTCCAAGATTTAAACATTCCATCCTTTAGAAAAGTTCCTTAAAACAGATGGTAAACAACTCAATATAGCTTCAGGAAGTCCCTGAAACTGAGCAGATTCACTACTGTTCTACCTACCATGCACTCTCACAATAGTGCTGAGAGTCACTCAGACAAGCCAACTGCCTTGTTGGCAGTTGAGATCAGGCCTTTTGAGATCAGACCAGCTAGCCTGGAACAAGCAGAAAACAGCCAGGCTACCAGGAAGAGGTGAAGACCAGAGGCAGCTGGAGAGGATGCTGTCCAGTCTGTTGTGCTGCCAGCAGGCTGTGCAGAGTGCTTCAGTTTCCAGCTTTGTGAGCTGTCATCCATGCTGGGGTGGGCTTTGATGATGCACCTGTCTTTAAGTTATTTCTGTCCCTGTAAGTAACCCCAATAAAACTCAGTGGTTCACTTAAAAAAAAAAGACATTTTCTCAGTTAAGGTTTTCTCACCCTAGATTGTGTCAATGCTATACCAAGCAGATAGATTCTTTACCGTCTTGGAACTATCTTAGGTAAGTTGCTTATGAAATCCTATTACCTGCCAAGACACTCTTGGGTCTTGGTTTCTCCAGGAAGTAGAAATGGGCCAGTGGGAAAGAGAGATACAAAGTCTGGACCTTCAGTGAGTTTGTCATGGTCATTGAGAAAGGATTTAAAAAATGGGGATAAAAGGGTGCTGTTCATCTAATTCTCTGCAACATGGCAATTTCTTCCTTTGGGGCACACAGGAAATCATATACCCTAGGTTGTGCCTTATTTTAAAAGGTTTACCCAATTGCACCAGACTCACCATAACTGTACCAGGCTTTTTCTTTTGGGCCACCAACCAGCTCCCAGATCATGACACAGAGAATTCATATTAGTTATGAACGCTCGGCATAGCTTAGGCTCATTTCTGGCTAGCTCTTTTTTTCAGATTTATTTATTTATTTTGTATACAATGTTCTGTCTGCATATATACCTGCAGGTCAGAGAGGGCACCAGATCTCATCATAGATGGTTGTGAGCCACCATGTGGTTGCTGGGAATTGAACCCAGGACTGCTGAAAGAACAAACAGTGCTCTTAACCCCTGAGCCATCTTTCCTGCCTCCTCTGGCTAGCTCTTTTATCTTAAATTAACCTGTTTCTCTTTAGCTATCTTTTGCCTTGGGATCTTTTGCCTTTCTTTCTGTACGTCTTACTTTCCTGCTTCCTCCAGTGTCTGTCTGTCTGGCAGATGCCTGGTTTCTGGTCTTAGAGGTGTCCCTCTCTTCCTCCCCCATTCTCTTCTCCTTCCTCTCTTTCTCATTCTTTTCACCCTCTTCTTTCTTCTCTTCTATTTCTCTTCCCATCAGCCCTATCCCTCTCCTGCCTAGCTACTGGCCAGTCAGCTTTTTATTAAACCTCTCAGGTACCTTAGGCTGGCAAAATGAAACAAACACAGCGCATCTTTATATAATTAAAGATGTGCAGCAAACACAAATGTAACACATCTTTCCACAGTTAAAGTCATATTCCACAGCATAAGCAAATATAACACATCTTTACATAGTTAAATATTCCACAAGGATGATTTCCCTTTTGTTAACTGACAGTCAGTTGGTTGGAAATAGGTTTCTAATATACTGGAAACCCACAGGGATAATGTCGATCACATTAATAAGACCAGCTCAAATTCAAAGGGGGAGAATTATACACTGCAGGGTGAGGACTCATTGGGGCCATCTTGGAATTCTGCCTGCTACACAGCTGGAAGGTAGCTACTTCGTTTCTCTATGTAACTCCACGGTTGCCTCTAAGAAACCTCACGCTCTGCCCCAGGGCATCTGTTCCGGCTCTTGCAGGCATCAATCATACCAGGCAGAAAAGAAGATGATGGCTCCGTGGGTTCTCAGGGCTGAACTCTAGCATGTCCACTGAGGCCTAGAACAGGGATGCAGCCTTGCCCCAGGTGGGCAGGTCCTCCACAGGAACTGCTCTACCCAGAGAACCCAGTTGGACTGTGCCCAGATGTGCCCAGATGTAAAGAACCTAAGAAAATGCACATGTGCTATTTTAACCTGCTAAGTGTTTAGTAGTTTGATAGACAACATGCTTAGTATGAGTCATTCTAAAACTGCGTTGGGGATAACACCCATGGCCTTACACAAGTTAGACAAGGCCTTTGCCACTGAGCTACATCTCCAAGTCCATTCTGATATGTTTTAATATCGCCTTGAAGACTCCCCTGTAACACAGGGATCCGAAGTCACTGGAGTGCTTCCCCCTAATGCTTAGAGCCTGCATCCTCTCAGACACAGCCATTGGTGGGCTGAGTAGATCAGGAAGCAGTAGTGAGTGATGGACTTGCCTTTCCATCTGCTTCTTTGATGGCAAATCTACCTGTGCTCCCCCAGCCCCACCCCCATCTGGATTTCCCGAGAATGTGGGAATGTCAGCACTGTAGCGACTCTCTGTCCATTCATCCAGATTTTTAGCTCCAGAAGGAGAGTGTGCAAGCAGAGGGTGAGGATAAGTGAAGGGCATACTTCAGAGACAAGGTACACATTTTCACTCCTACAAAATTCAAGGGGTTTACCAAGGAGCCTACACTATTAATCAAGCCTATCGCCTTAGTTTTAGCGTGACCCTTTGGCTAAAGTCAAAGCTCTCCAAGGAGCATGGTTCAATGATCAGTCACTTCTGGGGGTGGGGCAGGGGTGGGGGTGGTACAGGGGGAATTTCCCCCTAGTCCTTTCTTGAGAAGTTTTGATAAAGTAGAGAAAGCAAGAACATAGCAACCTAAGTGGGGGTGGAGGTCCGGGGTCAGACCCCGGGGTCAGATCTGGGGTCAGAGATGGAGGGCAGAGCTGAAGGAAGTGAGGCAAAACCCTGAACACAGGAATGCCGGGAGTGATGATCAGGTGAGGCCCTTGCTACACAGCTCCTATTGATACAATTGTGATTTAAATCATGCTCCCTAGAAGGGAGCTTACTCTTGGGCCATTGTCCTTCTCATAAAGTTCACATTTATTGACCACTTCCCATGTGCCCGAATCTGAACCGGGGACTGGCCTTGGAAAGATGATCAAACCCAGATGTCATGCTCTTGGTACTCCCAGGGAAACAGAAGCACCCCAGTGCGCCGAAGTGAGCTCCAAGAGTTTTGGTTTTTTGTGGTTTTTTTGTTTGTTTGATTGATTGATTGATCTTAACATCATTGTTTAATTTTTCATTTTTAATTATTTTTAATTATGCATCAAGGCAGAAAACACCAATATAATAAACTCCCATACAACCATCATCACGCTCCAACAGTCTTTATTAATGTTTTCTTAATATTAATATCATGCTAGCTAGTGCATTTTATGTAATTTCAATAGAAATTCTGGAAAAGTATTTTACTTCTAAATACTTCTACATACATCTCTGATGTAAATGTTCTTTAATAATTAAGAGATTAAATAAACGGGACTTCCATCCCAGTACCTCTGTCCACTGCCTCAAGTCACCTCCCCAAACCTGAGTGTAATCCTCCATCTTGCCTCTAGGAGTCTTGCCAAGGCCTTGGCATCTCAGGTTTGTCTGGTCTGTAGTCTTCTGATGGGGGCAACCAGTAAAGCCGCCTTGTGCACTGGGGACTGTGGTGGACTGTACTGATCTAACCCATGTACTTCCACCTTCCCTGACTGAACCTTTCTCTCTGTCCCTGCTGCAGATTGAAATGCTAGAACACAAATACGGGGGCCACTTGGTATCCCGACGCGCCGCGTGCACCATCCAAACCGCTTTCCGCCAATACCAGCTCAGCAAGAACTTTGAGAAGATCCGTAACTCGCTCCTGGAAAGCCGCCTGCCCCGGCGGATCTCGCTGCGCAAAGTGCGGGCGCCCACAGCAGAGAGCTTGGTGGCGGAGAAGGCGCTCCTGGAGGGCTGCGGACTCCTGGGGCTGCCGCTGGGGCGCTCGCCCTCCCTGCCACCCACCTTCGCAGGATCGCTCACCGAGCTGGAGGACTCCTTCACCGAACAGGTACAGTCCTTGGCCAAATCCATCGACGACGCTCTCAACACCTGGAGTCTCAAGACTATGTGCTCATTGCAAGAGAGTGGCGCGTACCAGCTCCACCAGACCCTGCACCCGAGTGCGGGACAGCCAGGCCTGGAAGTCGAGGCACGGGAGCCCGAGAGTGGTCCAGGGTCTGGAGATGAGGCCAGCGGCCTGCCGCAGGGTCACAGCGGTACCCTCATGATGGCTTTCCGGGATGTCACGGTGCAGATCGCTAACCAGAACATCTCTGTTTCCTCCTCCACCGCCCTGTCTGTGGCCAACTGTCTAGGCGCACAGACCACCCAGGCCACAGCTGAGCCAGCGACGGGCCAAACCGAGCAGGGGGATGCCGCGGCTCAGGGGGTCTCGGAAGCCCCAGCCTCGGAACAGGAGGAACCCCCGGGTGAGAACTCAGAAGCGTTGGAGAGCCGAGACCAGGGCGCACATGAACAGGTGGTTGCGGAGGCCGTGGTTGAGGAGGCTGTGGCCGAGGAAGCAGCGGAGGAGGAGCAGGAGGCGGGGCAGGCAGGGAAAGGGGCCGAGGCAGGCGACAACTCTGAGCAGCTGAGCAGTAGCAGCGCATCCACCAAGTCCGCCAAATCTGGCTCAGAGGTTTCTGCCGCTGCCTCGAAGGAGGCCCTGCAGGCGGTGATCCTAAGCTTGCCGCGCTACCACTGTGAGAACCCAGCCAGCTGCAGGTCCCCCACGCTCTCCACCGACACCCTGCGCAAGCGACTTTATCGCATTGGCCTCAACCTCTTCAACATGTGAGTGAGCTTGGAGTCCCCAGAAGGACCGGAGGGAGGGACCGAGGGGAGACTTGCAGGGTACCAAGTCCTGACAGCATCTTCTCTGGGTCCTTCAAGGCAGTTTGTGCCTGGGCTGATACCCCTCGCCGCAGCTCCCAGGGAATGTTTAAGAAGTATATATACTATTTTTCCCGATGACCAACGCATCAAGCATAGGTTTTTCACAATTGTTTTTTAAGATTAAAAAGGTTGTTTAGAAAATGGGAAAATACAGGTTGAGCACACGCAGGAATCGTTGAAGACAAAAATGAAGTTAGGAAAACAGTGTTATTACACTGGGGTCCCAAAATGAGGAAGTGGTGGAGATGGGAAGACAGTGTGAAAATGAGGTAGAGTCGCTGTTGAGAAGGCTCAGGTAAAGGTGGTTGCTGTGCAAGTCTGGCAGCCTGAGCTCTGCCCCAGAACAACCACCAAGGTGGAAGGAGAAAGGTGCCTCCCCTGAGCAGTCCTCTGACCTCCTGGGAAGGCATTCCCTCTCTCAAAATAAAAATGTATTTTTAAATATTTTTAATGAGATAGAGGGATAGATAAGAGGAAAGAAAGACAGGAAGAACGAGAACCAAGTGGGATAGAAAAGGAATTGGGGAATAGAAGGAGAGAAATTAATGACTGCCATAACTCAGAGACCCAAACAGGACTCCATGCAACAAGAGCATATGACCGCCCCGCCCGGTGGAGGAAATAGGCCCCTCCCTCCCTGTGAGACAGAAAGTCCCTGAGACACTCACTAACCCTCCTCATCCATCCCCCCCCCCTCCTAGCTCTGCCCCAGGGCAGGACTGGCTCCCTGCACTCATTTATTCCTACTACTATTATTTATTGCTTGTCAGGCCTGTACTGGATAGATGAGTAAAATGGCCCCTGGCCTCAAGATGCTCATGTCCAGCCATTACTAGCTCACCTGCAATCCTCCCAGCAGCATCTAGAGAGAGAGAACATCCTCCTATTTTACAAAATAGCAACCAGGCTCACCAGAGGGAGGGAGGTTGCACACTGCTCAACCTCTTGCCGGAGTTAAACCTGGGCGTGGCCAGAGTCATCCATTCTTTTGTAGATCAGGTTGCCTTCCAGTGCACAAGAAATCAGATACTCTCATCCTTCAAGACAGTGATTCCCAGTCTACCCCTAGTGAAGAACCAGTTCCATCCCCTCCCCCTGTATATGGGCTGGTACCTTTGCAAAACACAATACAAATGAATTGCTAGGAAAGCGGCCACAGGCTTGATGTCCTGAAAATGTCAAGCATTTGAGAAAAGGTTTCTAGGGCTCATTTATCTCCTCAGTGCCAGTGAGATCCAGCAGCTGAGGTGCAGGCTGGAGGAAGCACCTCCCGCACCCCTTGGGGGCTCTAGGGACTGTCCAAAGCCTTAGGGAAGGGACAGAGAAGGGAGCCTCTCTACTTGCTATGGATTCTTGTTGTTGAGTCAGATCTCTTCTCCCTTCAAGCCCCATTCCTGTCCCTGCTCCCCACCCCACCCCTGTGTGATGTTCAGGTGACAGTTGCTCCCATGGGGAGCCCTAGTGGTCCCTGGGAAGTAGATTTCCCAGGGTGAAAGGAGTCAGCACAGCAGCCCCAAACAGCCTTGGCTTCCTCTCTCCTCCCCACTCCAACCTCTCTACAGAAACCCGGACAAGGGCATCCAGTTCCTGATCTCGCGCGGCTTCATCCCTGACACCCCCATCGGTGTGGCCCACTTCCTCCTCCAACGGAAAGGCCTGAGCCGCCAGATGATAGGGGAGTTCCTGGGCAATAGCAAGAGGCAGTTCAACCGCGACGTGCTGGAGTGAGTGCCCGAGACATCCCCGCTCTCCCTCCTTTCACACCCCGGGACCCAAGGATTCTCATGATTCCTTCCGAGGTGGGCATCCTTGCTCCAGCTTCCTATAGCCAGCCGAGTGGCTATAGGTGCAGTCATTCATTTGGTGGTAGGATGCGCCTGGAGCCTTTGGACACTCCGGGACACCCTTGGGCATGAGAAACAGCAGTGGGGAGGGGATATAAATAATAATTAATGAATTGTGCCATTCAGGCCCACTTCTGGGGGATGTCCCCTTAGCCTACCTTCTCTCAGCACCTGTCCCAGAAGCTCCAGAACATTCCCGTGCCAAGGCTCATTTTCATATTAGTAGAGGCAAACCATGGAGAAAACGGGGCTGAAATGAGTGTTATTAAACAGGGAAATACTGAGTCCATAAACATGAATTAACCAACAAAATTACCACCGAAGAGCCTATACCATAACTGCAGTAAATGACTGGGGTGAGGGCTACAGGGACCGCCTTAACTATGCTGGACTTTGCACTGCTCGGAAGCTCCATCTCCAGAGGTCATAGGTGGCACTTCTCTGGCTAAGAAACGCCAGAGCCTTGGGGCCTCCTCTCCCCTGGGAAAGGTAACGAGGGTCCATCAGTTCTACTCTAGGCCCCTGGGAAAGCCTGTCCTCCTTGTTCTTGCTCCTGCGAGAGCTACAGAGAGAGGGACAGGGGACTGAGGAGTGGGGCGGGGGTGGGGGGGTCACTGTGACTGTTTCTGGCCAGTGCTGGATGGATAATTGAAGAGCTGCCCTCTGGTCACAGAGCAGTCCCGGCACTCTTGCAAAGTTGACACAGCACAGCTCTGTGTCCCATCCTGTGAGAGGGCCAGGGGTTTGCTATGCAGACGGACCGGTTGCTCCCTGAGAATGAGACTGGGCATCCTGGCCTACCTCATGGTCTGAGAGAACTTATAGGCCCATATGACAGCTCCTCGCACACTCTGAAGTCACTGGTGGTGGATGGGGGAGTGCCATCTCAACTCAGGTAGGGCAGCAAGAACTGAACCCTGTCTGAAGGATCTCGGGCATCCCTGAATGGCATTGGCTATACAGAACTAATGCCCTATCCTTGCCTCTCTAGAAACTATGGCTGGGGCCTGAGATTTTACACCTAAAAGAATATTGAGATTAGGCTCCAGCAATTCCCATTCGCTCTCTTTCCTTCTCCTTCCTTCAGCTCCCCTTTCCCTGTCCTGACCGCCCTATTAGGTGGTGTGTCCTGAAATGATGCCCAGGAAATGATACAGGCACCCAGAACATGCCATGCAACACAGGGGGAGGGTAAAAACCACATGTTCTGCCATACCCCATCTTTGGCCTTCTATCTCTTTCCTCTCCTTTCCCCTAACTCCCCCTTTCCACTAACTTTCTCTTTCCTTTCCACTAACTTCCTTCTGTCCTGCTGGCTCACATTCCCAGGTGATTTGTCTCTCTCCACTGGGGAGACAAAAGTGACCCTGCTCCCCTTACGGGATTTGTCTGTTTTCTTCTGCCACCCCCATCCCCATGAGACTGGGCCAGCATTTTAGTGCCAAGCCCACATTTGATCAGGAGCGTCCAGGACGCAAGTTGGGCTTTGTGCTGAGCAATACAGTGTCACACTGATTGTCACACTTCCCAGGTGACCTGGCATGGTAGGGCACGGATGAGTCACTGGGAGATAAGTTTCAGACCTGGGCCTGCTGCTGTGGGCTGTGCTGCAGAAAACCAGGTCAGGGATTAATCTGGCAGCTGAGGAACCCAGGCTTGAGCTGGACCCACATCAGCTAGCATTTCTGGTGAGAGGTGGCTGATGGGTAGGTTTTAAGAATTGACTGTCTCTGCTCCTGGGTGCTAGGTAGTATGGGAAAGGCATCTGGAAGGTCCCGCTTTCTCATCTCATCATTTCTCATGAGAAATTTGGGTTGCATGATCTCACAAGTGCCTCTGAGTTCTGTGACATCTGTCATCTTTCCCATTCCTTGGCACACTTACTGGTTGGCGATTGGTTTAGGACAGAGAATCATCTGCCCTAAGCGGGGAGTGGTGACATGCTTTGTCATCCTGCCAGAGAGTCTCAGAGTTGCCTTTGGGCTTGAGGGCAGTGCTGGGGCTTCAGGAAGGAATGAGGTGACCACAGTTATTCATTCAACAAACATTGAGTGAGTATTCTGTGTTAAGAGTGGACCTGAACTGGGCATTCTGTATTTGTTTGTGGGAATAAGGATGGCTCATGGTCTCAGGAAACTTACACACCTGGACGTTGATGGGGAGGGATGAGAGAAGAATGTAAAAGGGCAATAGCAAGACGGAGGCTTTCCCGCTGGCATCCTGGGTGTGGGGAGAGAGTGGAGTATGGATCACAGGCGTGATGTTACCTCCACAGATATCTTATGTCCCACACTTTATTCTGCAGCCCAGAACCTCAGGATCTGAACTCAGACACACTCAGCCCCACAGAACAGAGTCCTATGAACCAAGTTCACAAACACCTAGTTTGTGCCTGAGACAGAGTCATTCCTTCCTGCAAAAAGCCAGGAGCACATGGAGAATGAAGAGAGCCAGGACTCTGGGAGCATTGGTCTCTCTCTCTCCCTGCCATCCCGGCTACCCACCCTGGAACATTAAATAAAGTGCTACCTCCTCCTTACTTCCATTGGACAGAGCACAGGCAGTAACAGCTGTCCAGTGCTGCTTTGCACAGGCTGGAAAGGCTCTGTTGGGGTACTTTACGGCTCCCCTGCCCTCACCTGAGGTCATTCAGCAAGTTGCAACCATGTACATAGCTGTTTGCCAAACAAAAGGACATAAATCCCCCCATGCCCTCAGAGACTGAGACATGCCAAGCCACTGAGTTCCCCGAGAAGCAGCTGCAGGAGGGAAGACGGGGGTGGAATGACTCTCAGAGGGAAATTATTATTTTAGAGACAACATTCAGACCTATGAGGAAAAAGCAAAAGACTGGGGAACCAGAGCAGAAGCTGCCTCTAATGCTTACCCAGGTCTGCGTGTACCATCAAGTGCCCTGATCCCGGAGTGCGGCACTTGGAGTTCCTGGTGGCTGGCAGCTGTCTCTGTGCACTGGTCTCATTTTCACAGAGGACACATTGCAGAAAGGAATGTGTTGTGGTTTGAATGTCAAGTGTCACATGCTCATCTGCCTGATCTCCAGCTGGTGGTGGTTTAGAAAGCTGTAGAACCTTCTGTTATCTGTCCGGTTGGCAGATACAAAGCCGGGGGGAGGGGTGGTAGATGATTATAAAACCCACCCTGGTTCTGATCCAGTCTCTGCCTTCTGATCTGCTGAGATGTGAACAGATTCCCCAGCACTCCCACCACCTTCAATCTTCCTGACCAAGCTTCCCCAACCACACTGAATTGCATCCCCTCAAACCATGAACTAGAATAAATCCATTCTAATTTAGGTTGTTTCCCATTGGGTGTTTGATCATAGCAATGAGGAAGATAGCTAATACAGAAAATTGGTACTGAAAAATGGGGCCATTGGTCTGGTAAGACTGACCTTGGGCCTTAAAACCTAGTTAAAGAAAGACTATGGATGAGTTTGGAGTTGTAGGCTAGAGAAGTCTTAGAAGGTTGTAAGGAGAGCTGCGTGAACTGTTACGGTTAGAGTTTGGAAGAACAGAATGTTGACTGAAGCACAGACAACAAAGGTCCAGACCCAAGGACTGTAGAAGTGACCAAGGACTCTGTTAGGAACAGACTAGAAGCCATTCTTGTCACATTCTGTCAAAACATCCTACACAGTTTCTAAAGTTTTGCGTGAGACTGCATTCAGAAATAATGGATTCTGGATTCAAGGCCATATAGCATTAGAGTATGACATTTTTATGATGTCACTGCAAACACAACAGACACTGTCGTGACGTCACCATGAGCCCTGGATGCAAGGCGGGAAGGTACAAGGGTTGGGATTTGTCTTGTTGAGCTTCAGTTTTGCTTTGATCCTTCCTTGCCATACTCCTATGCTCCCTTTTGAAACTGGCGTGTTTACTCAGTACCATTTAATGTCAGACATATAAAACTTGTCTTTGGGTTTTACAGGGGTTCACAAATAAGAGACTGTCTTGAATCTCAGAAGAGATTGTGGAATTTGGGATTTTGAGCAATGTTGGAACTGTGAGACTATGATGACTTTAAGGGTTATACTGAATACATTTGACATTTCAAAGGGCACCTAATAGAGGCTAGAGGTGGGGCACGATGGTCTGGATGTGAAATGTCTTCTGCAGGCTCCCATGTTTGAACACGTGATTCCCATCTCACAGTGCTGTTTTGTAAAATCCCTTGGGCTTGGAGCCTAGCTGGAAGACACAGGGCTCTAAGGGCAGAACTAGTTGGTTATAGCCAGGTCCTTATTCCAACCCAAGCTCTCTGTTTCCTGAGCCAGTAAAATGTGGATAAGATGCCTGAAGCTCTCATTACTACCAGCCTGCCCACTACCATTTCTTACCATAGTGGACTGTGTTCCCTCAAACTACAAGTCAAATTAAATTCTTCCTACCTTAAATTGATTTTTGTCAGGTATTTGGTCACAGTGCAAGAAAAGTAACCTTTTATAAAAAGTAACAATATATAGAATAACTTCTACTAGGCTTATAATCAAATAAGAATAAAAAGTATCAAAGGACCACACCCACTTTAAGATGTTACTATTTGTTTTTGATGTCCATCTTGTTATGTAAAAGTCATAGTATCTACTGAGTTACATTTTTTTGAGACAGGGTTTTTCTGTGTAACCCTGATTGTCCTGGAATTCACTCTGTAGATCATGCTGGCCTTGAACTCACAGAGATCCACCTGCTTCTGCCTTCTGAATGCTGGGATTAAAGGCTTGTGCCACCACCACCCCATAAATCACCTTTTTGAAACAAAAGTTGACAAGTTGAACTGCCTGAGACTCAGGAAGTTTCTGTAAATGGTGGCTCTTTCCATTTTTATGTCTCCTACTTAAAACCAAGAGGCAACAG